GTAAGAGCCATTTCCCAAAAAACCAAAGTTAATTGCATCTTCAGGATCCTATGATCAAAACAAAGTCTCTAAACAAGAGACGGTGCAGGAGAACGGATATATGCAAGTAATAAAGTGCAGATACCATATTCGACAAAACGACTTCATTGTCCATTGCAACAAGGCTGATATCAAAAGTTGCCTTGCGATCCGGTTCATCCATACACGGAAACGCCCGGCGAGCATAAATAGACTATAAAGAAAAAAACGGAAACTGGTCAGGCCCAGTTGTGATAACTTGCTACGCAACAGGCAGATTGTGCAAAACATTAGGGAATTTAAAAGGAGTATTTATATGCCTTCTGAAGTCTTCCATGACAGACTATGGCTATGCGCGAGATAAATATTTTAAAAGGCAGAAAATTTAGTGAGTGATCCCGAGAATAAAAAGTAAATTTAAATTAAAACAGTACATTTCACATGCTCACCAGATCATAAACTGGAGAAAGGCAAAGGATCCAAATAAAAATGCATAGGAAAACAATAATGACATTAAGAATGATCATAAATTAACCGTGAACTCGGCGGGACTCAATCAAGTAGAATACTGATAGGACTATTTTCAGAGAAGACTAGACAGGGGACTGGAATATAACCTTACCTCAAACTGAGTACACAGAATATAGCTTTTTTCTCCGGTCGGGGATTTGTACGTGCTCCTGTAAAAGCCTTCCATATCATCACTTAAATGGCCACGAAATTTTAAGTTAAGGTGGCCGTTCCCAGTCTAAAGTATATGATATTTAAGAAAAAAAACATGGTCATCGCACCTCCAGGGCACTGGGGAAAGTGAAGATGACAAGGTCCTGTGACTCATCATAGGAAATATCGGCGTTGGCTTGGGAACAGAAAATGAGATAAAACAAACATTACCATTGTTGAAATGTGCATCCGAAACAACAATGTTCTTGGAGTTCAATATTACCGCATTGGTTCGTTCCACAACCTGTAGGCAGAAAAGAAATGTGTCCATTAACACGCCATTCAACGGAAAAGAATCATTTTAATAAATGAGAATTCTGCATAACGGATAAACAATTGTTTGTCTAGTACTTAAAGACGTTAACAGAACAAATAGGCTAAACCAAGTAGGCAAAGTAATTTGCCTATAGCACAGCGTCTTAAGGTGCTGTCCCTTGAGTTTCAAATTGAATGCTGGACTTTTTAAATTTAAATTTAAAACCGTCCAAGTAATAACAATGTTGTTTTTTGTCTAACTGCATATGTATTTCAAAACGTACTCCACTGGATCTGTTTTTGGCAATTGTTACTAGCCATTAGTAAGTTCAAGTTATAATAAAACACTGATCCTAGTTGAGATTAGTGCTTAAACAAGTTTCTGACCCGCAACTCGATGGACGCTTCTCCATCATATGTAAAGTCAGAAAGATTCGGCACAAATGATAGGTTGTAGTTCACGGGTTTGATGTTGTATGGCAGCCTCTTGAAATTTGCAGAACTTGAGTGTGTCATGGCAAAGGCGGACCGAAACCTCGAAGACAACAAACGGGAACTAAAAGTGGCTCCCGAACAAGCAGAACGTGCGCGCACAATAAGTCGAAGCATTTAAAGCAGCCGGTCTAACGGAAATGTAAAGAAAATATTTTTCGCTTTCCTGCTGTCGCCAATCCTCAGTATCGAAAGAGTAATCCAAAAATAAATATACATTTGTATCTTGTTAGCAAAATCATGGGTTTTACAAATTCTAGTAGAATGCGCGTACGTTGGGACTAAAATAAAATTTCAAGATACCACTGTTTTTAACACGTATTTTTATTTATGGAATAGCGAACAGGATACGCCGATCATCTTGTAGGAATAATTTACAAATTTTAGTTAAACTCTTTTCACCCACTGAAGTTGATTCCATTTTCGACAACTGAGATCGTGTTTCCAAATATCTGGAAAATCCTAAAAAATCCTCGCTCATGAACTCACCCTATAGAACGAAGAACAAAGACGGGCTTTTTAATAAAGTATCACGTTCGCAGCAAATCTTTCAAAATTCCGGGCATAGCGCAATTTAGTGTAGGGAGTCAATTAGTCCTACTTCTGGCAAATCCGGCTTACCGCTCCCGATACTGCCACTGTCCCCACTCACTCAAGTCACCCGACACCTCCATCTGATTCCACTTTATTTGCTTACCCACTTGTCGTGGCTTACCATTCTGGTAGCCCCACTAGAACGCCCGGGAACCCGTCTACGTCAGATAGACCAATAACTTCGCTATCCCAATGCATTCCTCCTGAAATTCCGATTAAATCACCTAAGACCTGTAGTTAGCATAATGTGATTCAAAAACAGAATCTAAACCACAGACGAGAGGAAGGAAGAGCAGTCATGACTACCCTTGAAACACGTGGCCCCGCCGGCTCAGAAGGGGCTCAAAAGGGG